AGCCTCAGCCTGCCTCAGCCTCAGCCTCAGCCTCAGCCTCAGCCTCAGCCTCAGCCTCAGCCTCAGCCTCAGCCTGCCTCGGCCTCAGCCTGCCTCAGCCTCCCCTCCTCCCCCCCCTCCCCCTTCTCCCCCCCTCCCCCCTTCAGCCTCACCTTGTCTCAGCTTCGGCCTGCCTCGGCGTCATCCTCAGCCTCAGCCTCAGTCTCAGCCTCAGCCTGCCTCGGCCTGAGCCTGCCTCGGCCTCAGCCTCAGCCTCAGCCTGCCTTTGCCTCAGCCTCAGCCTGTCTCAGCCTCAGCCTGCCTCAGCCTCAGCCTCAGCCTCGGCCTCAGCCTGCCTCGTCTTGCCTCGGCCTCAGCCTCAGCCTGCCTTGGCCTCAGCCTCAGCCTCAGCCTGCCTCAGCCTCAGCCTGCCTCGGCCTCAGCCTCAGCCTGCCTCAGCCGGCCTCAGCCTGCCTCAGCCGCAGCTTGCCTAAGCCTCAGCCTCAGCCTCAGTCTCAGCCTCAGCCTGCCTCAGCCTCAGCCTCAGCCTGCCTCAGCCTCAGCCCTCAGCCTCAGCCTCAGCCTCAGCCTCAGCCTCAGCCTCTCAGCCTGCCTCAGCCTCAGCCTCAGCCTCAGCCTCAGCCTCAGCCTCAGCCTCAGCCTGCCTCGGCCTCAGCCTGCCTCAGCCTCCCCTCCTCCCCCCCCTCCCCCTTCTCCCCCCCTCCCCCCTTCAGCCTCACCTTGTCTCAGCTTCGGCCTGCCTCGGCGTCATCCTCAGCCTCAGCCTCAGTCTCAGCCTCAGCCTGCCTCGGCCTGAGCCTGCCTCGGCCTCAGCCTCAGCCTCAGCCTGCCTTTGCCTCAGCCTCAGCCTGTCTCAGCCTCAGCCTGCCTCAGCTCAGCCTCAGCCTCGGCCTCAGCCTGCCTCGTCTTGCCTCGGCCTCAGCCTCAGCCTGCCTCGGCCTCAGCCTCAGCCTCGGCCTCAGCCTGCCTCGGCCTGCCTCGGCCTCAGCCTCAGCCTGCCGCCTCAGCCTCAGCCTCAGTCTCAGCCTCAGCCTGCCCCGGCCTCAGCCTCAGCCTCAGCCTGCCTCAGTCTCCTCAGCCTCTCAGCCTCAGCCTGCATCAGCCTCAGCCTCAGCCTCAGCCTGCCTCAGCCTCAGTCAGCCTCAGCCTGCCTCAGCCTCAGCCTCAGCCTCAGCCTCAGCCTCCTGCCTCAGCCTGCCTCGGCCTCAGCCTCAGCCTGCCTCAGCCTCAGCCTGCCTCAGCCTCAGCCTCAGCCTGCCTCAGCCTCAGCCTCAGCCTCAGCAGCCTCAGCCTGCCTCAGCATCAGCCTCAGCCTCAGCCTCAGCCTCTCAGCCTCGCCTCAGCCTCAGCCTGCCTCAGCCTCAGCCTCAGCCTCAGCCTCAGCCTCAGCCTCAGCCTGCCTCAGCATCAGCCTGCCTCAGCCTCAGCCTGCCTCAGCCTCAGCCTCAGCCTGCCTCAGCCTCAGCCTCAGCCTGCTCAGCCTCAGCCTCAGCCTTCAGCCTCGGCCTCAGCCTCAGCCTGCCTCAGCCTCAGCCTGCCAGCCTCAGCCTCAGCCTCAGCCTCAGCCTCAGCCTGCCTCAGCCTCAGCCTCAGCCTCAGCCTCAGCCTCAGCCTCAGCCTCAGCCTCAGCCTCAGCCTCAGCCTCAGCCTGCCTCCTCAGCCTGCCTCAGCCTCAGCCTCAGCCTGCCTCAGCCTCAGCCTCAGCCTCAGCCTCAGCCTCAGCCTCAGCCTCAGCCTCAGCCTCAGCCTGCCTTGGCCTCAGCCTGCCTCAGCCTCATCCTGCCTCAGCTCGGGCATTCAAAATATGGCACAGGACTGTTGTTCTGGGAACACGAAGATCACGAAGTGGCCCACAGTTGGCTCTGGGCAATCAAAATCTTGTACAGGAATGGTGTTCTGGGAACACGAAGAACACGAAGTGGCCTACAGTTGGCTCCGGGCATTCAAAATGTGGCCTGGGAATAGTGTTCTGGGAAGACGAAGAACACGAAGTGGCCTACAGTTTGCTCCGAGCATTCAAAATGTGGCCTGGGAATGGTGTTCTGCTGGCTCCGGGCAGTCAAAATGTGGCATGGGATGACGTTTTGGGGAGTACCCGGTTGTCCCCGGCATCCCCCGGATCCTGCCCAGACCCCCCTGGGGAGTCAAGATGCTTTCCTTTGACCCCACTAGAAACCTATCAGTCCTCGCTGTTAGGTAAATCATGAGCTGCGGGCCCCCTGGGGAGAGGGCTCCCGCCCGAGATTTCTTTGCAATTCGCTCACGGACGAGGTTTCTGCTCGATACCTCCTAAAGTGTGGGTGGGTTTGAATGAGTGAGTGCGTGAGTGAGGATGATGATGATGATGATGATGATGATGATGATGATGATGGTGTTGAGGTTGCTGTTTGTGTGAATGCGTGAGTGTGTGAGTGAGTGAATGTTTTAGTGAGTAAGTGAGTGAGTGAGTGAGTATATGGGCGGGCCGGTGGGTGAGTGATCGGGTGAATGCGTGAATGAGTGATGATTCTGAGTGTGTGAGTGGGTAAGTGAGTGGGCGAGTAAATGATTCTGAGTGATGATGATGATGATGATGATGATGATGATGATGATGTGTGTGTGTGAATGATTCGTGATTGAGGGTGTGCTATTTTTCTTGTTCCTGTGCGGGATGCGGGGAAGACAACAATAACCCCACTTTAAATGTGGGGGAAGCCAGCAACAAACCACGACTTGTTTTTGTTTGCGGTTTTCCTTCGGGAAACGCCCCGAGCAACACCCGACAACAACACCAAACAAACAACCGAACACATCCCTCGGAAAATCCCTCGATGGGGGTTTCTTTGGTAGGTTTTCCCGAAAGGCGATTTGGAGGATTTTGCCCGATCGCTCCCAGGAGCCCCCCGAGAAATAACCGAACAAATCACGAGTTGTTGTTGTGTTTGTGTTATATGTATATGTGCATGTCTGTGTATATATATATATATATAGTTATATATATTGATAATGTATGTATATAGAAGGGGGAGGGGGGGATGGGGGTAAACATAAACTTGTTTTAAAGTGTGAGGCACCGGAAATCTCCCAACATACTCCTGAGCTCCGCTCCCCTCCGGGATCCGGGGGGGCCCCCCCCCAGGGATTGACCCCCCCCCCCCAGGGAGTTTTCGGGGGGTCCGTGTTTTTTTTTTTTTTTTTTTTTTTTTTTTTTTTTTTTTTTTTTTTTTTTTTTTTTTTTTTTTTTTTTTTTTATATATATATATATATATATAAAAAAAAAGGAATTCCCACACTGGTCCCCCCCGAGTGAGCATCGCAGGCATCGGGAGCAGCAATAGCAGCAGCAGCAACAGCAACATCAGCAGCAGCAGCAGCAGCAGCAACAGCAGCAGCGAGAGAACCATACTAGTGACTGGCATTGCACGTGCTTGCGCGCCCCCACTGAGTCCCATTTCCTCCTCGTCCTCCTCCTCCTCCTCCCTATCCTCCTCCTCCTCCCCCTTCTCCCTCCTGCGCCCAGCAAGATACGGGAGCTGGCCTCCCGTGCGACGAGATATGTTTCGATCGGCCCGGCGATGGCCTTTCTTTTTGCAGGACATCTGCCAGCATCAGGCTCATGCACCATCCCAGAGGTCGACGTATAAACAAACTCATCCTCCTCCTCCTCATTCCCCCTCCGCCTCAGCCATTTTGGCTCCGTGGCGCCGAGCGCTCGGCACCGGGGAGGGGAGGGGAGGGAGGGGCTGCGGCGCGCTTTTAAATTTCGGCGGAGGCAGCAGGGGCGCACGGCCCGGGTGGGGTGTGGGGCAGCCTGGAGCCGGCCTTGGGGCCTGCCGTGGTCCAGCGCGCGTGCTGGCCAGCAGGAAGGGGTGGAAAGTTTTTGTTGTCCGCCTCCGGGGGCCCTTCTCGGGCCCAAGAGTGTGAAAAAAGGATGCGGGTAGAACAGCTGCGCCGGCTGGGCCACGGGGCGGGGGCGCGGGCCGTTTGGCGGATTTGCCCTTGGCCCCCTTCGGGGCCCATCCAGTTCAGACCCCCGAGCCGCCTCCAAGGGGCATCACATCAGGCTTACCGATAGGCCCACCAGAGCATGTCTTAGGAACCTCGTGTGGTTTGCAAGAAATTATGAGAACATGTCTGGTTGAGATCGTCTTCGTGTAGCACACTGATTGGATCTATGATACGAAACTTTGTTTTTGATTTTTGAATATTACTTCGTTCAGAGAACATGTGGTGGTAGACCTATAGGAATGCCAGGACGGTCGGTCCCTGCGCAGGGGTGGCATTCCATGAGGCGTGCCTGAAGGGGCCTCGCCCGCGAGGGGTCGAAGGAGTTGCCACCTCTTCCCCGGCGGAAGGCCGGCGGACAGTGGCGGACGTAGAATGGGGGCGGCTCCGCTGGCGGAGTCGACGGAGTAATGTAAGCAGAAGCAGAAATTGACGATGGTCTGCGCAGATTTCATCGATAGGCGTCTGGCCTCCCCTGGCGCGCTGTTCCAGCGCGGATCCAAGAAATCTGCGCGGACCTCCGAGAGTTTATATTTCCGCAGTTTTGTCTTCCTCCAGCAGAAGCTGGTGGAAGTAAAAGACGTGCCCCACCACACGCTAATATTTTCGTTTTGAGGCCTTGTCTGGGGCCCACCTCCTGGATCTGCTTGACTATTGCTCGGCTCTTTCTCGACTCAAGGTCGACTCAGTTTCGACTCAAGGACGTTCGAAACAGCATCGGCGCGTGAGTGGAGGGAGTGGCTCAAGGAAGGCCCCCAGAACGAGCATCGAAACATGCATCCAGGGGATCCGATCGCCCCTGTCTGCGACGAGCCCCCCCTAAAGCAGTCTTCTGGCAACTTCGTGGACCATTCTCTCTCGTTTTGAGTTCGTTTTGCTGCACAGGCGGAACGAAGGCAGAACGAGAGCGAAACATCGAAACGAAGCAACGGCGAGCACTGCTGACGTCGCGCCCTGGCGCGCATTTGCCCGAGGCCCCGGGCAGTACTCCCGCCCCTCGTGCCTCCGCCGGCCGCTCTGCGTCCGCCCCGCTCCGCCCCCCCCCCCGCGAGGGGCAACGATAGGGGGGGGACTGGCCCGGCGATACATCGCCGATAGATCGGCGACATCCTCCTCCTTCTCCTCCTCCTCCTCCTCCTCCTCGTCGTCGTCGTCGTCCTCCTCCTCCTCCCCCTCCTCCTCGGTCCCCGATAGCGAATCCGCACGCTCCCGGGCGACGGGGCTGTCAGACCCCTGTCGGCGATCCATGGGCCAATGGGGGTCGATGCGGGGGGGCAGATTGTGGAGGCCCTCTGCGCCCTCCCTCCCCCCTCCTTGCCCCTCCTGCTCCTCCTCCTCCTCCTCCTCCTGCACCTCCTCCACCTCCTCCTCCTCCTCCTCCCCCCTCCTCCTCCTCTTGTCCTTCCCTGGAGGTCCCCCCCTCCCCTTTGCCTAGTTCTCCCCCCCTGTCGTTGCCTTGGGCCCCGCGAGGCCCCGACAAAGGGCCACAGAGATGCCCCTCCGTCGCCGGCGCCTCGCGGCCCTCGGCGCCGCCGCGCTGTGCACGGCGGCAGGCGCCAGGGTAGCCAGGGCCCCTGGAGGTGAGGGCGTATCGACCAGGGGCAGCGTGAGGGGGCGGGAGGGCAGGAGCAGGAGGAGGAGGAGGAGGAGGAGGAGGAGGAGGACGAGGAAGACGTGGGATTTTGGACGCTTAGCCGGTTTCTGGAGGTTTTCCTGCCTCGGGATGCGTTCCAGCGGCTGCGCCTCGCCGAGAGCTGTCCCGGTGCAAGGAGAGTAGCAAGAGCGCATTCTGTCCCGATCGATCCGTCCTCTTCCTCTAAAGTCCTCCTCCCCCTCCTTTTCCTCCTCCTCCTCCTCCTCCTCCTCCTCCTCCTCCTAATGTCTCCTCTTTCTTCTACCTGTCTCCTCCCACTCCTCCTCCTCCTCTGGCTCAGGAAGGAGCGTCTTGGTTCTCAGTCCCTCGATGCCACCAGGAGGTCGTACCTGGACATGGTTAATCGCGAGATTGTACCGAAGGCTCTGAGCGCCGCCGAACGGTCAGCGCGCCAGCAAGCCAGGGCAGCTCACTTCCATTGACACCGTTATGCAGCTATTCCTATTCCTCCTCATCCTCGTCCCTCCTTCCTCGCACTCCTCCTCCTCCTCCTCCTCCTCCTCCTCCTCTCCTCCTCCTCCTCCCCTCCTCCTCCTCCTCCTCCTCCTCCTCCTCCTCCTCCTCCCTCTGCTCCTCATCCTTCTCTCCTCGAGAACTGGGGATTGTGGAGTACCTCGGGGTCGAGGGCGCGCGCGAGAGGCTTGAACGCTGAGATCGCGTGGGCGTCTTTGACTGCTCTGCGTGCTCTGTGGCGTCGTCCTTTCCCTTCTCTTTCTCCGCTCTCCTCCTTCTCCTCCCCTCCGCCTCCTCCTCCGACTCCGACTCCGACTTTTCAGAGTTGGCACATTATGACGATGTCATCTAGCAGAGACTCCCCAGACTTGTCACGGTCCGTTTTTGTTTGCCCGCCCTCGAAACAAAAAGAGGGGAACCATTTGGGTGAGGTGTCCCCGTTTTGTGTGTGGGGGGGGGTTAGGTTGGGGGGGGGGGCGGGTGAGGAGTATCAGCTGATATAAGAACTCCATATCCTCGTCCTTGCAGCCCCTTCCTCCTCTTGCTCTTCTTCCTCCTCCCCCTCCTCCCCCTCCTCCTCTTCCTCCCCTCCCCTTCCACCCTCCCCCCCTCCTCCCCCTCCCCGTCCTCCTCCTCCTCGTCGTCGTCCTCCTCCTCCTCCTCTCCCTCCTCATGCCGCCCCCCAAACAGGGAAGAGCGCGCAGAACACATCATGTGTGCGTGGGGGGATACAAGTTGTTTTTCGGTTGTGTTTGTTTCAATGATTCGGGTGGACGGGTCACATCTAAAAGACTCCCTCCTCGTGCTCCTCCCGCTCCTGCTCCTCCTCCTCCCCCTCCCGCTCCCTCACCCCCTCCTCCCCCTCCCCGTTATCCTCCGGCTCCCTGCCATATCTGCTCAGGATTTCTCACCACAGGCTCTTTGCTTTGATGCAGAGCTTACACTTGGTCGCCAAGGCTCAGCAAGGGCTTCCAGAGCCGAGCATGGCATATCAATGGCTTACCAGGGCAGACCGCAGCTTTCCAACGCCTAACATGGCTTACTCACTCTTATCAAGGCTGAATCGGGCTTAGCTGGACTTAGCACGGCTTAGCAGTGTTTAGCAGTGTTCAGCAGGTTTTGCAAGGAAGTTACAGTGCTGAACGCAGTTTAGCATGGCCCAGCAGGGTCTTCCGGGGCTCAGCTAGGCTGAGCAGCGCTTACAAGGGCTCAGCGAGGGCTCGCGGGGCCCAACACGATTTACCAAGCTTGCCTAAGGTTAGCAAGATCGGCTGGTTTACCGAGTTCAGCAGGGCCTGTCAGAGTTCACCGGGGCGCAGCAACGGCGTTTTGAGCTTAGCAGTTTTTTATCGGGGCTTCTAGGACTTAGCAAGGCCAGTCAGAGAGTGTCGGAGCTCAGTAGCGCTTAGGAGGCGCAGTGGGGCTGAGCAGGATTTACAAGGCCTTGGCAGGGCTTAGCAAGGCTTAGCACGGCCTACAGGTCTTAGCAGGGCGTGCAGGGCTCAGCAGAGCTCAGCAGTTCTTGAGGCCCCGCAGGGACCAGCAGGGCTTAGCAAAGCTTGCCAAGACTGAACAAGGCTTAGCAAGGCTTAGCAAGGGGCTTAGCAAGGCTTGCCAAGCTTAGTAGGGCTTAGCCGAGATTACCAGGGCATACGCAAGCTTACCAGGGCTCAGCAGGGCGTGCCTTGACCTAGCAGCGCTTTGCAGAGCTTGTTAGGGCTTGACAGTGCCTAGTCGGGCCTAGTCGGGTTCAGCAGGGCTGACCAGGGCTGAGCAAGGTTTCGCCAGGCCTACCAAGTTTCAACAGGGCCCAGCAGTGCTCAGCGACACTCAACGGGGCTGAAGGATTCGTAAGGCTGAGCAGGGTTTTGCAGGGCTTGCCAGCGCTGAGCAAAGCCTAGCGAGGCTTTGCAGGGTTTAGCAGAGCTTACCAGACCTAGCAGGGCGCAGCAAGGCTTACAAAGGCTTCGCACGGTTTACCAAGGCTTAGCAGGGTTTTCTAAGGTTGAGCAGAGCGTGGCAACGTTTATCCAGGCATCGGGGTTTACCCGGGTTTACCAGGGTTTAGCAAGCTTCGCATACTTTAGCAGGGCTGAGTAGACCTTGGCGGGCTTGACAGGGATTAGCACCGCTGACCAAGGTTGACCGTATCGCATCACGGCTCAGCAAAGCTTGGCAGAGCTTATCAAGGCTAAGCTCGGCTTGGCCAAGCATAGCGGGGCCTACCAGGGAGCTACCACCGCTGTGCAAGGCGCAGCGAACAGTACCAGTACGTGGCTGGGCCGATCAGGGCTGAGCAGGCCAAGATGGCAAATAAGGCCAGGCAGAGCTGACATTTGAAAGTGTATAGCTTGGGGAAATAGGGATGGAAAGAGAGAGAGAGAGAGAGAGAGACAATGTATAGACATAGAAAGAAGGAGAGAGAGAGAGAAATAAAGAAAGATATGTCAAGGAATCTTTACACACATACATAGATTTATATGGAAAGCGAATGCTGAACAAAAAGGGGTAACATACTACGAACATTCCTCTGGAACACAAAATTGCTCCACAGTCCCCCCGTCTCGTCTCCTCCCGCTCCTCCTCCTCGCTCGCTCTCGCTGGCGTTGCTGTCCTGCCCGTGCCCTTGGGGGCCGCGAGGAGGGGAAGGGGGGGATTACCTTTGATTTGTTCTTCCCTCCCACCAAAAGTAAACGATATGAATACTATTCTCCCTCCTCCCCAGAAGTCGTCCGGGAGATCTCCCGCCCGCCCCCCCGTGCCCCCGCGTGCCGTTTTTGCCACAGGATCAACCGTTGTTGTTCCCCAATCAGAGCTTGCTTCTGTAGGGGTCCTAGCGGATATAAAGCTGAGGTGAGGTGAGCGGCCGATTTCGGTGGCCGGGGCCGGGTGCCCGGGTGCCCGGGGGTTCCCGGGGGTGCCCGGGTGCCCAGGTGTGTTGCCGATTTCGGTGGCCGGGGCCGTGTGCCCGGGTGCGTGCCTGGGTGCCCCGGGTGCCCAGAAGTGCCCGGGGGTGCCCAGCCCAATAGCCTTCTATCTCTATAGCCCAAAAGCCCAATCGCCATATATCCCTATAGCACTATAACCCTATAGCCCTATAGCCGTACCTATACGACCAGCCTTCGGGTGATAAGGAGGTTCGGGGGGGGGAACCAACGTCTCACTCGGTCGGTCTCACTATCGATCTCAGTATCGATCTCATTATCGGTCTCGCTTGATCGATCTCACTCGATCGATCTCACAATCGATCTCACTCGATCTATCTCATTCGATCGATCTCACAATTGATCTCACAATCGATATCACAATCGATCACACACTCGATTTCGCATTCGGTCTCAATATCGATCTCACTATCGATATCACAATCGCCCTCACAATCAACGTCATCATCATCCTCATCCTCATCCTCAACATCAACAACATCAACATCATCACCAACATCGTCATCATCATGAGGGCACCGTCATCATCATCATCATCATCATCATAAACATCGTCATCATCACCAACGTCATCATCATCATCATCGGGACAACACCATCATCATCACCATCATCATCTCATCATCAACATCATCATCATCATCTGGACACAGTCATCGTCATCTTCAGCAGCATCATTGGAATCATCATCGTAATCGGGACACCATCATGATCACCATCGTTCTCATCATCAACAGTATCATCAACATCGTCATCATCCTCGGGACACCATCATGTTCATGATTATCGCATCATCATCATCGACATCATCAACAACATCATCATCATCATTGGGGCACCATCATCATCATGAGCAGCATCATCATCAACATCGTCATTATCATTATTATCATCATCGGGGCACCATCAGCATCACCATCATCATCACCATCATCATCATCATCAGCGTCATCATTGGGACACCATAATCATCAACATCATCACCATCAACATCATTATCGCCAAGAGACCATTTCCATCAACATCATCATCACCAACATCATCGGAATCATCATCATCACCATTATCATCATCATCATCGGGACACCATTATTGTCATCATCATCACCATAATTATCATGAGCATCATCATCCTCATCATCGGGACACTATCATCGTCATCGACACTAGCATCAACATCATCATCATCATCTTCATCGTGACACCATCATCATCATCCCATCATCATCAATCATCATCATGATCATCATCATCATAATCATCATCATCTTCATCATCATCTCATCATCATCATCATCATCCTCGCGGGACACCGCGGGACACCGGCGGGACACCGCGGAACACCGCGGGACACCGCGGGACACCGCGGGACACCGCGGGACTCCGGCGGGACACCGCGGGGCCCCGCGCCCCGGAAGAGAAACATTTGGTCCGGCCGCGCCTCAGCCACAGTAGACTTTTTCTCGCCCGCCCACGCAGCTTCGCCTCGCACGCACGGCAC